GTGAGTTGAACCATATAAAGTTTTTATCGTAAAAAACCAATAGTTTCTGAGTTATAGGCCGCCAAACATAGGGCTGCAGCGCGAACTCCAGGAATTGCCCGAGGCTATATCTCGGAAACTGTTGTTCGAAGAAAAAAATCCTTGCCACAGCTGGCTTCCCCGCCCATCACAACCCCTTACACCAGTTTTCAACGAATAATAAAATATGAGGGTGCAAATTTAATTTTTTATTTGTCGATTTGTCGTGGAACGCCCCAGTTACAGATGGAACGGATTGCAGTAAATCGTCGACGTAACTGTTTTCTTTAATCATCTTGCCAGCGTGTGGAAATTGCGTGATATTCATATCAGCAATAGTGTGCAGTGCCACCATCGCAATAGTGCCACTGCACAGTGGGGATTTTTCCGATCTAGCACGTATTTATTCGTAGAGGGCAAACCATAGGAAGTATTGTAGCCAGATTGTGCACAGATGTTGGGTGGTGTGTTCTGGTGAGAGTGTTACCTGTAAATGTGCATAATCAACATAGTATAGGGGGGTCAATTGGACCCCCGGCTCAGCCGTTTGGCCCCTGATCAAGCTAGAGCTTCGTGGAAAAATCAAGCGTGCTGTCTATGACGAAATGAGGCCGAATATATCCAATTTCAAAGTCCAAGGTCATTAGTTGACTTTCCAAGTCAAGTCAATGACCCAACTAAAGATGGAAAATCGAGACCTCTTGGAACTTCGTAAAGCTAGGATGTTACGGGGTATTTTGGGGTGCTGATCACGAATTTCATGTTAGTTTTGATCACAGACGATGTCTTCATGCATTTAAGCCAGGTCGGGTCAGGTCAGGTCAGCCTGTAGACGTCCTGCCGGCCATCCATAATAGGTGTCGCCTACTACTGACAGCTTCGTAACATGGTACGAAGGCACCAGAACTACTTCGTAAATATTCAAATGGTTGCTAACTTCGAAATCAACACCAAAAACTACTCTAGAAGCAAGTAAAACTCGAAAAAGTGAACCAAGGTGATCAAAGGTCAATGACCTTGACCTGACCTTCACGTGACCTTGACACCCACCATAATGCATGGCACCAACATCATTTCACATATTTGAACGTTTAAAACCACAAAAAGACTGGAAACCGCGGATAATGTGAGCTGGCATACGCCGAATCGCGATTCCGGCCAAACATGGTCTCGAGAAATATGCCACAGGTCAAAGGTCAGTTGGGTCAGAGTCATGAAATTTTTAGGTTAGATGTAAAATTGATGATCTCGAGGGCAACGAAAGTTTCGTCGCGATCGGCTGCTTTTTGCGCGAGTGATTTGCGGAAAACCATGGGGTTTTATCCGACCCCTTCCCCCTCCCCCTCCTCACTAGTGCTAGGGTTAATAAGGTTGCGGTATGTATAATTTACGCCTGTCATTCTATTCCTCATGAATGTGTCTCAGAAAATATGCATCATATAAGTCAGGAAGTAAAATTATTCGCCCATGTCTGGAACATACCTATATCGTGCTGTTTGCCCTAGCGCTCCTAGAGTGGGGTATTAAGATACTCTAATGCGAATATTCCGTGTTCAGGCAAGTTCCGGCAGCCAAACTAGGCATTGTCTTGTGCAGGAGAAAGTGGCGAATTCGATAGGATATGTTTCGGAGTGGAAAAATGTGGAAAACATTGTTGATTTCCTACATTTATCTAGAATAAAATTCCTTCAATATGGTGTATGTAAGGGTTTTTTGTAAATGGCATTTTTGTGACCTTAGTAAGGTTGTGGCATACTTTTTGTTTGCCATTCCATTCCTAATATAGGTGCCTTTCAGAAGATATGCAACTTTAAGAACTCGCAAGAATAAAACCAACAGGACAGGACAATGAAATTGAGCCATACTTTCGGTCCTTACTGAGCCCATTGAGTAATCACGCATGAGTGTGAACTTTGGGCGCATTTTTCCTAGTCTTGCTGTGGACATACAGATAAAACAATGCCATATATGAAAAATTCAGACATTTCTTAGCCCCACTGACACATAAAATAAACAAAAACCCAAAAAATATTTTTTGAATTAATAGGCGCTAGATCGGAAAAATCCCCACTGTGCACTGGGGCGATCTCCAAATGGTACTGCCGTGAGAACGAAATGATCAGGTTCTCGTTGTGTTTCCATATCACGCCATAGATAGCGATGGACATGCTGGTCCTTCTCGGATAATTTGATAGAATTGTACATTTTAGAGATATCGGTAGTGACAGCTACTGAATGCTCTCTGAAGCGTAGTACAATTCCATATAGACTATTCACAAAGTCGGGTCCTTTAGCCGTTAAGAGAGTGACCCAGGTACGATGCGGATGCATTAAATACAATTCGGATAGGCGTGGAAGAAGAATTAGCTTTAAATACTTCGTGGTGATTGATGTAATGAACAGGACCTTCATAACATCTTATCTCATCTTCTGTCAATTTTCTTGAGACTTGTCTGATTTCCATGTCTTTCATTTGAGTTCGATATGCCGACTGATAATAGTAATTTAGTCTTTTCAGTCGAAATTCAGTCGATCGAAGTTTTGCTCTTGCTGTACTCAAATTATTTGGGAGGTCTTCAGGTCGTCTGATCCATGGATAGGTAACCGTAAAACATTTATCCTCATCGTTATAGCTTAAGCCCCTATGAATCATCGCCAGCTCCCGTTCCTCCTTCAGTGTATACTCCTTCATGCCCAATGCACACTTCCCGCACCTGCATCCACCACATTTAGGAGTGCAAGATGTCCCAAGACTTTCAATACTGAAGAATTTTTCCACACAACTTTTGTTTGTGGGTGATTCAACAACCATGTTGTTGATGTGGGGTGTCAATAGCATATTGTTGCTTTTTATTTCCATTTTGGTGTGACCTTCCTGTGCTTCATCTCCTTCGTAAAATGAGCCTCGAATGCAATACCCAAACTGATCTTGTAAAAGTTGTACATTCCCTACGGTTTTTATGACATTTGGCATGATGACGCAAAAACCTACGCCGATCAGCAGATCAACCTTTCCTTGGGGCCTAGCAATGTCTTGAAGGTAGATGTCCGGAAAATAAGTTGCAATACGTTCTGTAGTGACGTGTTGCAGGTCGGCTGTGATCTCATCCATTCCATAGGCGTAAATGTCCCATTTTCTGTTTTCCAGATCGATCAGGGGAACGTGATATTTCTTGCTTTTTATTTTTGTCGCGTCATTTCCCACTTTGATTATAGACAATTCTACTTCGTCTCCCTTTAAATCAAGTCGCGATGCCGCAGAATGGGTTATCAGTGAGATATCAGCACCGGAATCCCACAAAACCGTTAGGTTCTGATCATGACATTTAACTTTACTAATTGCCAGAAGCGTTGAATGATTTTGAGCTTTACTGGTGTGCACAAAACTTTCTTGTGTTGCATTTTTTGAATCACACATATTCGAAATTCCGGGATGGGTGAACTTTAGCGTATTTCGTCTTTCGATGGACTTGAAAACTACGCATGCTGGGAGGATGACTTTTAGATGGCAGCGCACGTCAGGTAGGTAGCAAGACAATATCAACTGGCCGCTGTCCTATGGCGGTTAGTTTTGATGTGGTAGCCGGTCGAATTTGGGTGCAAAAAAGCGTTTCGGTGGACTGTACTTTTAGGTGGACATATTTTTTTGTCTTGAGATAACGGTATAAGTGGACATTTTTTTTTGCTTTGAAATGTAGTGCATAGGTGGACGTACATTTTTGTTTTTAAATTGCACTTTAAGTTGACATATTTTTACGTGCTTTATTACAAGCGAGCCAGCGGAGCGAGCGAAGCAAGCTTTCGTAGAATGGCGGAAAATTCTGAGTATGAGCAACTTGGCAATGTATTTCAATGCGTCAACGACCAACGTTGAAGTGTACTACACGTGCGCACGTGGAGGGTGCCGCTTCCAGATCTCAGGAACGGCTGGACCGATTGTGCTCAGATTTGATACACCGATAGCGACCGGTTGGCAGGGTGCCGTGCAAAAGTCAGTTGGAAATACCCCCACTCAGTTTCGCACTTGCAGGGCTCATCCTTTTGCTCGCTCGCGTATCGCCCCGAAAGGCGTCTTACTGGTTCATTAACCCGCTCGGCGTTTTCACGCCCCCCCCCTCCCCAGGTTTTCGCTGACATCTCTCTTTTTTTTAAATATTTTTGGTGCCCGACCCGGGCTTTTTGTCGTTAGTAGCTCACATTCATACTGGGTTAGTACACTATATACACGGCAGTGGTACGAATCGCTTTCGGCACCCGCTACGCGGGACAGCCTTGACCGCACGCTTCCTGTCACGCACCCCAGGTGGCACCGCACTGGTACGCACGCTGGGGCTATCCCGATTTCTCGGGCCCGGCAGGTCAGAGGGCTGCTCCGGGACATGAAGCGAGGCCGTGCCCCCGGGACATGTCACCGGACCGAAGGATCTGTTTAAAGGCGGATCAGGCCCGTGTACCTGCGGCCGGGGGCGCTGGCTGGCACAGCGTTAATCCCCACGACCGAGCGAACACTCCCCAGTTACTGCCATCTCCTGGGTAGGAGCCGGCCGAGGAAAATGCTGCCAGAGGTCAGCTTTGATCCAAGGACCTCCCACACCAAACGTGAACGCACTTGCCAACTGCGCCACAAGGGTGGTGTTCGCTGACATCTCAAAAACGGTTTGGTACAGCTTATTATACGTCTTTTCCGTACAGGCTTTGAAAATTTTAGCTCCAGGTCATCAAAGGTCAGGTCACCAGGTCAAGTTAAGTGACCCAACCCCCGAAAATAAATTCAAACACGCGCCCTGACCATAAGATACACGGCCCCACGGCCCCAGAGTTGGGGGGGGGGGGCAAGCTGCCCCTACTGCCCCCTCCCCGGTTCCCGCGCCTATGTTTGAGGTCACATTATTCATCATTCGACGCGTCTTGATGAGAGAAATGCAATGGTGTTTGAAATGTAGACGGGTCCCGCCTCGCCAACCCGGCTCCGACACGCAACCTTCACAGACGAGCTTGTATTCCACAACCGCCGCTCGCGCCGGCCAACCAGGACTCTCTGAACATGCGAGCGACAACAAACCGAAGAGACATCGGAAATTAAGGTACTAGGGCTGCAACTAAACAGAAAATAAAGGAACAGCGCCGTAAGTTATTATGACAATATAAAATAAATACTTAAGTGACGTGAATTAATCAGATATAAAATCGGACAAGTGACATCGCAGAAAACAATAAGAAACAGAAGAGAAGCCGGTACGAAATCAAACGGTGCGAATAAATCGACCGACTATACCCGACCCTCTTAACGAAAAGAAGCGAACATCGGCAACAAGCAACATTAAATTCGGAGATAGCACATATCGAAAGGCAGAAGGCGACGCAACACAACGGCGCGTGGCACTCCGTCCGAGCGCGGCACTCAGGCCACGGCAGTGAGCGGCACTCATGGCAGAGCGCAGCAATCACCACGCTGCGCGCGGCAGCCACCGTCCGAATACGGCACGCTCAACAGCGCGGCGCGCGGCACCCACCGCGTACGCAGCGCACGGCACAATCACTGCACAGTGCGCGGCGCCATCACTGCAGCGCACGGCACCGCGCAGGTCGCGGCACCCTCGCCGCGGCCACGATCACGGGACCACGGAGGGCCCAGCCATGGGAAGCACGGCCGCAGAGCACGACCGCAGAGCACGGCCGCAGAGCGCGGCCGCTGGCAGCTCGGCCGCGGAGCTCAGCAGCGGGCAGCTTGGCCGCAGACGTCGCAACCGTGGAGCACGGCCGCGGACAGCACAGCCACGACAAAACTGTGAACAGAACGCATGAAAATAACCATGTCCTTTAGCACCGCTCAGCACTCCATTGAGACCACGCTGGACAGATTCGCCGATTTGAGGCGCTGGATGGCTGCATGCCATGTCGATCGGCGCCTTCCGTCAACAGAACAGCCCCCAACCAGCTTGCCTTGCCACGACATTACTAAACAATTCGCCAGCAACGACCACAGCAAAATCGCAGCAAAAATTATCAGTTAGCAGCTGATCACGCGGCTTACATCACAAACGATGCACGATGAACACATATTTACAAAGACCTTAATTAGGGACAGAATCGGTTAGGCGGTCTCGACGCTCTCTCAGAGCACTGCAGGGCCGGCACCGGAGCTACTGACCTCTGTGCGTCGTCAAAGTCAAAGTCAAAGTCATTTATTAAAGACACGTCCACGATGTGGTTACTATGTGTCCAGTCAATGGAACATAATACAGCATTAAAATTGACACCCACCGCTCAGGTACACATATATGCATTTTATCATGACACGTAAACTGCGAATAGCTGAGGATGAATGCGACGAAGGGTAAAAAGTTGAGTTTAGAGTGCTGCGCAAATAAAGTTAAAAGCGTGGAAATATATAAAAGTGATTCACTGACGAGGGGCACGCGACAAAGCTCTGGTAAAGGCAGCCCAGCTAGGCGCTTGTCTTGTCTGTGAATCCAATTTGTTCCATGCACTGGCAGCCCGGTAACAAAAACAGTGCTGAGACCGAGCGAGGCGTCGCTTTGGCAGCTCTAGAAGTCCCGCCGTTACCGCTCGCGTCATCCGCTCGGACACACTCCCTCGAGGGACAAACATTGCACGGAGCGACTCGGGACAGACCGTGGAGTTAAGCGCTCTGTACACGTGCATACAGTCATGATCCCTCACCCAGTCGTGCACTCTGCCCCATCCTAGTGATTCAAGGGCTGGTGCGATGTGCTCGTGGCGTCGTACACCAGTGACCAATCTCGCTGCGAAATTTATACATTTCTGGATACGGTGCATGTGGACCTTGGCAGCTCCTCCCCAAACGGATAGGCAGTATCGGATGTGGGGAAATATGTGATGCTGGACGAGGAGTTTCAGGATGTCTCTGGAAAGAAAGTGACGGATTTTGTGTAGGGATGCTGTGATGTGATTGCATCTCTGCACAACCATGGAAATGTGGGATTCCCATGAGAGGCACTGGTCGAGAACAACGCCCAGAACTGTAACGGTCGGACTGGGGGTGATTTTTGAGCCAGAGAAGTCGATATGGAAGTTGGCTGTCTTTTTTATGGAATCTCTGGTACCAAGCAAGATGAAGTGAGTTTTGTCAGCATTCATTTGCGCATATTTGTTGAAGTGATGGCGTTTATGTCTCGGCAACCAGCATCTCTGCATTCTTTCTTCAGCTGATACCACCCGTTTACGAGTCTTCCTTCCGGAGCCTTTGAGAAGAGGAGCGCCTCTTCTGGTACACTATCACGCAGACCCACCGACTCACGGAGAGAAACCAGAAGATCGATCGCCCGTTTCTCCATCTGTGGTATGAGAACCGGCACAGTCCCTCCACGTTTGCCACGCGTTTTGATCAGGCACATCTTGTCCATGATCTGTTTCTCCAAGTCTGATAGCGAATTGACGACTGTCTCGTTTTGGGTGTACGCCGCTCTTGAAGTGTAATCACGGACACGAATCTTCATGGACTCTCCACCTCTACGTTTGTTGAACACCATGAGGCTGACGGCTGTTACGCACGCCAAGGTGTTGTGTGACTTGACGCTAGGCTTTCTACTCACAGACTCCATCGTGGATGCCAGTTTGGTCTGAAGGTGGTTCTGTAGCCGTTTCATATCTTCGGTGGTTGGCAGCTGTTTCTCTGCGTTCTGTTTTCTCAAATTCAATGTTTCGAGTGAGGCGCGCCCCATTTTATCGCCCCATTCGTTTTCTAGCAGTCTCTTGAAGATGGAGATTCGGTTCTGCATCTCCGTGTTTCCTTCTCGCATACTGACGCCCAGTAGTACATGGCAAACCTTCCCCAACGCAGTTCCCACTGTTCTTGGCACAGTAGGCACTAGGAACGTTGGTGGGGTCAGCTTAGTGCCTTCCCTGTATCCCGCTGCTTGCTTTGTCACATGCACAATGTCGTCAAAGTATCGAGCGTCTCAAAGCTCATCCATAGTGAGGTTTGGCTGACTCTTCCTGTCCCGTACATCTAGGAGAACTTTGGCTAGTTTGGTCACTCTGGTTTTTATTGGCTTCAAGTGGTTTTCGTTTTTTCCTTTGCTTTCTACGGTGTAGTTGGCATCACTGAAAACATTTTTACACCTGTCCCGAGTGTAAACCCGCGGAACAGGTGTCGTTGATCAGGTTCCATTTTTAAGCATCTGAACAGGTGTCAACTAACCCTTCATCAAGGCGTCATCGAACACCTGCATCAGGTATCAACACCCAATGTTTACACGCGCATCGAGTATCAACGCTCGATGTTTACACCCGCATTAAGTATTAACACCCACTGTTTACACCCCCATCGAGTATCAACGCCCACTGCTTACACCCCCATCGAGTATCAACGCCCACTGTTTACACCCGCATCGAGTATCAACACCTACTGTCTACACCGGCATCGAATTTAAGCACCTATTGTCTACACCTGCGTTGTGGGTTACACCTGCGCTTAAACACCTCTCCCGCGGGTACTTTCCAACACCCGTCCCACGGCTCCCCGCGTAATGAGTGTAACTGCACACCCTTGAGAAAACAACTGTTTTTGGCGAACGACTTTATTAAAACAAAAAAACAACACGACACAAACCGAAATGACAGCACATCTGTTGTCATTTCGTGTCAACAGAAGTGTGAACAGAAGTGTGTCAACAGAAGTGTGCGTTCTGCCGCAACCGCAGAGCCACCCCTCAGCTACCCAGGATGGCTGACCTGCCAGAGGCGAGAGTCGACATGAGACGACCTTTCAACACACGACTATCTCGGCCCACTGACAGTGAAGAAGTTCCGCAAGACGGAAAAAGGTAAGTCTTACCCGACTCAGTCGGGCCTCAGATGGACAGTCAGGCGACACGAATCTACTGAGCTTGACGCTTACTGAGTGATACGCTCCAGGCCTTTCGGGGGCTTCAGCACGTCTGTTTGGAGAACCATAACGGTTGCCAGGTATGCGGAGCACCGCGTGCTTTTCTTGGTCGGCTTTTGAGCGAACACCGAGAACGCAGCACCCCATGTGAGGAACTGGTCGATCTTGTTCAGTATCTCAAAATCAGCTACCTTCTCTCCCTCGACCCAGAGGGCATCACGCCATATAACCATTGGACCTCCGGCCGTCGGTGCCGCGTAAAGAGCGTCTTCCTCGCGAAGTTCGATGAGGAGATGCTCCAGCGCAGCTTCTAAAACACACAGACACACATAGACACGCATGTCAGTTACCAATGCAACACTGTCATGCCGTAAAATACAAACTGCACACACAATAGCTCGTTTTTTTTTTCAAAAGACAATCCGACGTTTCGTTTATATTTTTCATTATCCTACCACAAACTAAAAACTGGTAAGAACATTATCATGCAATGAGGGAGCCAAAGCGCCACCAACCACCATCCAATCTTTATAGATACTGAGTCCACGTGTCCACGTGAACGCGCATCGAGAATCTCGAGAATCTCAGTCCACGTGATTTCTCAAGAAGTTTGTTCCTCGAACAGAAGCACACAAAAAATGTCATCCAATTTCCCTTGGGATCGAACGTTTCCAATGCTACAATAAATACCTCCGAGTGTCTGTTCTTTCGCCTTGTTCCCTAGGGGATTTCCGGCCCATATCCGTGGAGCCAATGTGTAGCCGCCCGGCCCGACAGCCATGCCTAAATCCGAACAGCCGCCTGCTGCCTGGCAGGGTTGTTACGAGCAGAAACCCAACCCACTGGTGTGTGTGTGTGTGTGTGTGTGTGTTTTTTTTTTTTTTGGTGGGTAGGTAATTGAAAGCAAAAACCCAAGGTGGGTTTTTGCCCTAATTCGGCTCAGCTTCTAGGCAACGTAGCGAGACGTGCAAGGTGGCATTCAAAAGCTCGTTAAAAATCATTACGAAAGTACTTAAGTCATCTTTAGGTCAGGTCAAAACGAGGTTACCAGAGGTCACCGAAGAAAACAATGACCGTTTTGACTTTCTGAATTAACTTTTGTTCCAGAAAAGATCCAGGAACGATTCACACACCATTGTGCTTAGCTCGTCAAGGCACATCGAATGATATATAATATGACATTAAAAAGTCAAGTAAAAAGTTGGCCTTAGGTCAAGGTCATGACCTGATCCAAATAGGTCATGTTGCATATCAGTCGATCTGCATTGACGAGACAAAAACACTGGACGCTGTTTGGAGCTTCTATCTCTACCCAAACGAAAGTTATTGCAGAAAAACCGCTGATGACCTCAGGTGACCTCAGATGACGTAAGGAGCATCTTCCAAATGACAGGGGTGATTTGTTTCGGCGGAATCACCGACAGGGACCTGTAACACCATGCTTCTGGGCATTTTGAAGACATTGGATGACACTCAGAGGAAGTTGGATGTTTCCGCCGTTTTCTGGCAATCCGAAAAAAACGCAAGGTGTGTTCAAACCCCCTCCCCCCGGAACAGGGCGCGGGTTAATAAGCTCATTCACTCGATGTCAATGATGCTGTTAAGCATTTTTATATCAACAATTGATTGCTAGAACTGCTCGACAGTGCCATCGACGTTGGCAAAATGACCGGTGCAGCGCCATGGAAGTACTGCACTCGAGCGAGAGAATATATGTATATTGTGTAAATACATAGTGCGTAATAGGTACTACCTGTTTGAGGTTCACTCTAGAAACTAATGAAACAAACATCACAGTTCAAAGAAGTAAAGTATGAAAAAAAAAATCAAAAACCCACCAATGCTAAAAAAAAAATACCCATCAAAAAGGTCCTGGATGACGCATCAATATTTTGACGTGAAGTGGGCGGGGCTGTCATAGGTACCATGGTTAACGATCAAAAGTGACTCACTTTTTTGAAGTACAAGCTCCAAGACACACTTCATTTTGTTTTTTTTTCTTCAATTTTTCGGTCTCCAAAAACTACCAGAGCCATTGTCAAACATGGAGCCGGAGGACTCCATGGCAAATGAAAGCAAAAAAAAAAAAACACAGAATCAGTAACTCAAAAACGGGAAAAATTGTGAAACAAAACAAAAACATGATAAATCAAAAACCGAAAACTCCAAAGTTGACCCAAAAGTTTGGATCAAGAAAATTGTGTGGAGTGGACGATTGCGCGTTGAATGGTAATATTGGAGTTGTCAACCAGGAAGCTTCTGTGGCACCCATCTACCTGAAATACAAAGCTGTCTGAAAAGTGAGTCAATATTTTGATCCTTAAAGGGACCTCCCACCTAAACATGGGGTTTGAGTTGGGATAGCCAAGTTGAGGACAATCTGGCAAAAAGGCAGAAAAAATTGTCTTGAACTCCCACAGTTCCATAGTTTAGGAGAAAACTCCATCTGATGCTTCAAAAAAAGACCTTAGCTAAGGTCCTATCTTCAACACGGAGCGACCGTTAGTGTGACGTCACCTCATTTAGTCATTCTGATTTAGATGGGCTTGTTCGTGGAAAATCAATTAAAACTTGGTCTGAGCTTTGCTGTGGTGCCTACAGATTAAAAAGAATCAGCTTTATGACAGTAATGTGGCCTGGGGAAGGGAGAATTTTAGGCTGTGACTCACATATTTGAAAGTTTGTGTTTGGAATATGGGAAGCCTGAGATGTTTAATGAAAAATAAATGCCAGAACCATGTTCCTGGGCATCCAATCTATAAAGTCGGGCACAATTTAACTGGTTTTAATAACATTTTAGAAGGTGGGAGGGTCCCTTTAACCAAGATGCCTATGACAAGCCCCCCCCCCCCACTTTGCATCAAAATATTGATTTGTCATCCAGGACCTTGGATGCATAAAAAATGACCATTTGCTCCCAGTGCCAGACAGCCAGAGCTGGGCGCGTTCCTCGATTTTCGGTAGTGCGTTAGCGTTCCTGCGTTCCTCCGGCCGCGGTTAGTGCGTTCCTGGAATAGCGTTCCTCAATTTTTTCGCTCGATGCGTTAGCGTTCCTGCGTTCCTGCGTTCCTCCCTCAAAAATACCGCCGAACCACGCGGCGCGGGCCCAACCAAACACGGGGCGAATCGATCACAGAATACCCAGAATGGCGACGTGGGGCCGAAAAGCAGCTCGACATCTCTTTTCCGAATCGAATATCTGAAATACGTTTTACCAATATCATCCGTAGGGTTTTCAACAAAAATACGACCTGATTAAACACAATAGTTAAGTTAAAAGATGTATCTTAGTAAAAGTTATCATATTTACTTTACACATTTAATGCCTGAAACTGAATCGAATAGTAAACATCACCACTAAAAATCTTTACACATTTAATGCCTGAAACCGAATCGAATAGTAAACATCACCACTAAATCTAAGCAAGCCTTCCTCGATTCGACCGACAAGTGGCGCCTCTACCGGCAAACATACGTACTCGAGATTCAAACATTTGACACAGAGGCCATTGGCAGCAGTATAATTTTTCGGGTGGTTCCGCAAGAACGCAGGAACGCTTCAAAATTTCGGGTGGTGCGTTCCTCTTACTTGCGTTCCTTTGAAAAAACTTTGCGTTCCTGCGTTCTTGCGTTCTTAAAAAGGGCGGTGCGTACGTACGGAAGAACGCAGGAACGCACTAAAGGAACGCACTTGCCCAGCTCTGCAGACAGCCAATTGAAAGTTGGCTGTCTGGATTTTGGCTGTGTCTGTGGGTGTTCCTGATTTTGCAATCAGGTACCCGAAGCCCTCAAACTCAAGCTTCTTACAGATATAGATTGTTACTCACTAGCGGATCCAGGGGGCAACGGGCCAAAATCCAGCAGTGGCGGGGCCAAAGTGGGATTTGACCCCTCCCTTTGCAAACCGAACCCAATGCTTTAGGTATATTGCTACATGTATAAGGCCCCTACTTTGGCCCGTTTTGGCCCCTCCCTTAGTCACTAGCTAGATCCGCCAATGTTGTTACTGGATATATTTCTTTGGCTCACCTAAACTCCTCATTAGGTACCCCACCAAATTACTTTAGCTGCTTTAGATGAGAAGGGAGTACGTACCTAATTTAGATTAACTTAGTAGGATTTTAGGTAAACAATGAGTAATAACTAATAAACCTGCTCTAGGTCAGGACACCTGCTCTACGACCTGCTGGTTCAGGGGCGTAGGAACTTGCTTTCAGCTGTGGGGGCAAAATTCGGTCTGCTAGTGCGCCAGTGATGAGAAAAGGTGTCCTACCTGCCCAAAAGGCTCCTTCATTAGACGGAAATGTGCTTTACTGAACGTAGGGACGCTGGCTCGCATCGCAAGGTGCAATGCCATGCCATTTTTGTCTCGAAATGCATCTTTTTACCGTGAAGTTATGGGGGCAATGCCCCACGGCTCTGCGGTTGGGGGGGGGCACGTGCCCCCCCCCCCCTGTGGCTCCTACGCCCCTGTGCTGGTTGCTGAGATCCTGACAAGGCACGACTCGACAAGAACGAGAGGGCACAAGTGGAAGTTCAAGAAACGCAGGGTGCGGACACTCGTTCAGTGGAACATGCTGAGTGTGTGAGTAGTCAACAACTGGATCACACTCCCAGACTGAGACCATGTGTGTGCCGAAACCCTCAAGTCTCAACCAGTTCAAGGCCCGACTAGACCGCCACTGGAAGACGGTCATGTACAACACTCCCTATCCCTTAGAGCCACACTAGTCCAACCAGCTAAGAGCTCGGTGAGAATAGGTCCACCAGGCCAAGTGGCCTTTGTTATCCCGATAACCATCCTGAATGCAGAAAATTATACATTCAAACAAGAAATGCACCCCCAACAATTCTCCGCCCTTGAAGGTAGGTATGAACATTCTGCACGTCTCACCTCAAATAATCCAAATCCATGTACTGATAAATTGAAATCTAAAATCCAATCCATACGTAGGCACATGAATTGGATTCAGTCAATTATAACCATTAAAATGGCTATTTAACTATTTCCTTCTGTGCTTTATCGTCCCTCATTGTCATTCACAACCATGAGGCATCACATTATCAATGGTGCACACAAAGCATTTGTGATGCGGAACTCTAGGAAAGGCACATTAAACCATGCATTATGCAAATATTGTAATTATAAAATAGCAAGGAAAAGAACGGAGTAACATAGGAAATAAAATGGATAATTCACCAGTTATCATTATGACAGCGCCACAGCCGCCACATATGCCGACAGAAGCAGACAGCAGGACGTCTTGCTGCGTTTCTACCTTCCTCCACATCCTTATTCGCCTTCCGTAACTGCAAATGGCCAAATGCTTATTGTAAAGATGTATGCCTATCACCTTACCTCAGCCCTCTTCGAATCCATGCAGCCCAGAACCGGCAATACCACGCGTCCGCACTGAAAACTTTTTTACACCTTCCTCGGGTGTAAGCACCTCAAGAGGGTGTAGCTGAAATTCTGCGTTTTTTACCCTCGTCTGAGGTGTAATATTTACACTCAAGTAAAGTGTAACAAGACACTCGCCCAGGGCGTTGACTTTGCACGTTTACACTCTCCAGGCGGATGAAAAAGGGGGTACACTCGTGATTGACCTTTTACTGTAGTGTTACACCTACAGCAGAGCACGCCTTCCGAGTGTATATATCGATCCGATTTCGGGTGTTGCTGATTCCAGATCCCCTTTCCCTTTCCTTCCCCTTTCCCCTGCACCGGTCGCGCTCACGCTCTTTACGAAGAATAAACACCAGTATAATGTCAGAATATTTTAACGTTTATTGGACGTTGATCCGTGCAACAAGTACATGAAACGGCGAGTCCTCTGCAGATATGAACCGGAGCTAGGCGTTCGAGTCCAGCGCCTTCGAGTGCGCTCGAAAAAGATAGCGATATTCGTGATGTACAGCTCGTCCTGCATGTTCACCATTGTTTGGAATTTGGCGATCCTCTCCCTTTCGACCCAAAGTGTTCGTTGGGATGTCCACCATCTGGGATGGTGGACGGTCCGTTCGTTGTCGCAGGGCCAAAAACGACCTGCTCCTCACGCATCTCGAGTAGAAGGTGTTCGAGTTCCTTCTCTGAAACACATGGGAAGCGAAATTACTCATACTTGCCGCTGCCAGAAAGTTTAACCCGCGCCCGGGTGGGCCTCTCAGCCAACTTCGCCATGGGGGGAGGGGGGCACACCAGGTTATCTATGAAAATATAGCTAAGACGCAGACAAAAGCAACAGATAGCTCGTTATAGATCGTTCATCATTCAGGTCATTTTTGATCAGGTCATTGCCATGAGGCCACTGGAGGTCTTCAAACGTAAAAATTTCACGAAGTTCTAACTTCTAGTATTAAACAAGGATGAAGCAAAAACCAATAATCCTAGTGCCATAAATATCATCAAGAGAAGCAGAGCAGAGCCAGCACCACGGCGCGCCTCATTTTCCCTATCCCTGCATTACAAATTAGCTTTGGAAATCACGCACGTCCTAATTTTTCGAGAAAAAGTATAATCTCGAAAATGCTGTCATCTACTTACCCGTTCCGGAGCAGGTGGGTCTTCCTCAATGCCCAATAGTCACACCAGCTCAGCACACTAACAACCACGTTCGTTGAAGCACAATGGCGCACTGAAAGCCGCGTGGGTGCGAGCGGCGTCACGCGCATGCGCCTTTGTCGTCCGGTACATTACACTTCAGAGCAGTGTTGAGCCAAGACGAAAATGCGGCAATCGCAGATGAAGGATCCTTTGTCAATAACACAGCACACATGAAGCGCGATCATCTACACTACAGGAAAGTGTTATTCGTAAATGAACAAAAGCTAGGTGTTAAAGTTCAGAATTGCACTTCCATAAGGTGTTGTATGAGTGTGATTTGCACACCAACGAGGTGTAATTTCGCTTTGATCAGTTTCTAAGCGTAATTGCCGTGTTATAGACCTGCGTATAGTGCTCAGTCTGCTATTTACACTTTTAGGTGGTGTTAATACGGCGATGTGAGTGTAAAAATGCTTTCAGTGCGCCGCAACACACAAAATGCAGCAAAGATGGCGACAAGGCCAAATGTTTGTAATTTCTTACACCCGAGTAAAGTGACAAACAACCCGCCGCCGGCGGACGCGCGGGAAAATGATACGCGTTTCGCGAGCTGCATGATCAGCCCAAGGCGGTCGCGCGGGAAAAAATAACACGCATTCCAAGGTCCTACCCTTTTATTGATGCCTGCCCTGATGATCAATTTGTGGGGGACTCGAAACCGGTGTTGATCATCTATAACGAGGTTCATGATGACACCCGGAGCACGTATTTTTCGTGGACCACAGTGTTAAGGCAAAGTGTATTATCCCAAACACTTACGTTTACCCATGTATAGTTGATCAGACTTAACAGATGATTCGTGATTCGGGTGTCATTTGATTCTTCACACTTAGGACAGGAGTTATTTTTCGGGAACAGGTGTAAAAATGTTTTCAGTGTGGCGTATGCGATACACACTAGGGTGTTTCATTACACTATGGTAAAATAATGTTGGTTCAAAACTCAGCCATATCGACTTTGCCCCAACTCTACCCGTAAAACTAAATCGATTGATACGCTTGAAACCCAAATTTAAGTATATTTAGGGGTCGCACACTTTTGTCACCAAAACTCGTTACACAGAGAAGGGGGCACATCCTTCCTTGGTGCGCTTGGGCAGCGCCTTCCGGTTGAGTTCCACGACTCGCAGGCCATTGTTGTTAGGGCCCTGCCGCCCTCAATAGACCGTTGCAGAGCCCTCAGATGCCAGCATAGCCCCCGCAGCCTGGTTGTGTTGGGGCCCTCAGAGGCCGTCGCTGGGCCGCCTGAAGCCAAATGGGCCCTCAGACTTGAGTTGGGTCTAGGGCCGTCACGAGGGCCCTCAGAGACCGTCGTAGAGACCCTCAGGGGCCAGTGGGGCCCCTGGAGTCCTGTGGGACCCTCAGCGGTCGTCATGAGGGCCCTTAGTGGTCGTTATAGGGCCCCAGGGGACAGAGTTCGTCGTGAGAGCCCACAGAGATCATCGTAAGGGCCCTCAGAGGCCGTCATAGGGGCCCTCAGAGGCCAGTGTGGCCCCTGGAGTCTCTGTGGGACCCTCAGCGGTCGTCACGAGGGCCCTTAGTGGCCGTTGTAGGGCCCCAGGGGACAAAGCCCTCAGGTGGGAGCCCTCAGAGATCGTCATAAAAGGGCCCTCTGAGGCCGTCGTGGGGACCCTCAGATGCCGTGTGGAGCACCAAAACGCGGCTCGGGACACTTCTAGCCGGTGTGGAGGCCCCGACTAGCATGGGGCGCTCCTGACCATAAATAGACACCCCGGATGATTCCACATCAGTGTTCGTTTCCCGATCACTGGTTTTCAGGAGAAAATGTATTGGATGGTGCGACGGGCCCCTTGTATGGATTTTGAGGGTGCAAAAAAGATATGTTTGCACCCCATGTTTTTCGATGGGGGTGCAGCTGCACCCCCTGCACCCCCTATTCCGCCGCCACTGCCTGGCTTTCTCAACCAAATCAATTCGCAGGAAGACTACTCATGTTACGGCCAGAAACAAAATCAGAGATGAAAAGTCGCAGAAATGTGCGACCTCTAAACATCATCAGAATGAAGTGAAATTTTACACAGAAACTTGTGAGCAGATGACATTTGAGGGGAACATCGATATGACTCGCAATATGGCACTTTGAAAATGTGAAACACCCTAATACACACTGATAGCAAATTAACACCCGTCTCGAGTGTTAACACCTAAGACGAGTGTCGTTGATCCGGTGCGATCACTTACACCCGTCTCAAGTGCACACCTAAATTGGGTGTTTGTAGAAGTGTAACACTCGTCTTTAACACTCTCCACCAGGATCACACTCACCATAGAAACACCCGTCATAGGTGTAACACTTTGTCATAACCTCTTATTCGGGTGTCGAAAACACCTTAACCTGGTGTTAACACCGAGAGTAAAACCTTCATTACAAGTGTCTTGTCTTCTGGTTACACCCAGGAAAACACCTCGCATGTGTATCACACTTAATGCAAAACACCCCCTAGACGTGTAATTTAAACACCCAACCCAAGTGTTGCTGAGCTGGATGCGAATGAAATTTCTCATGAGAAATTTCATTCGCAAGAGGAAATGCTACATGCATGTAGCATTTCCTCTTTCAGACATATTCTCCGTGATTTTTGCTTTGAATATTGCACAAACTCTCCTCTGATCATCACAATCAGTGTTTTGTAAAATACACTACCGTTTACTGTCAACTGTATTGATTCGTATAGTGCGAACAGAAATGCAGAGCATGCATATTGGCACTGCAGCAGCCACAGTCGCCGCGCGGGACGAGAGGCCGCCCGGCGGACACCGCGGGCAGCGCCTCAACGCATCACAAGTAGGTACGGAGGTCGGCCGGCGCCAGACCGGAGCCGCGGAGCCGCCAGCCGGAGACGTCGCCGCCCGTCTCAGGCTGGCGGCGCGGGCTCAGTCGACACACTTCAGATCCCATTCGCAGGGGCGCTAAGCCGAACGGCCGGCGCCGCGTACGCCCGCCCCGCCCAGAAGGCAGCTGCTTGCGTCGCGCGGAAACTGAGGCGCCGTGCGAACACAGTGAATGCCGCCCCCCAGGTCAGATATTGGTCCGCCTTTGACATGAACCTCTCAAACTGGGCCACCTTTACGCCCTCCACCCATAGTTCCTCTTCGTGGATGGTCGGTGGGCCAGCCTGACCTCCTGGCGGCCCGAACACGACGTGTTCCTCCCTCATCTCCATCAGCACATGTGCCAGCTTTTCATCTGCAATAGATGACCAAAGTCTAAGCAAAACAAAACACACAGGGAGACAGCGGGAGAGAGAGTGGAACAGAGAGAGCGGGAGAGAGGGAGAGAGAGAGCGGGAGAGAGAGATAGAGAGAGAAAGAGCGGAAGAGAGAGATAGAGAGAGAGCGGGAGAGAGAGAGAGCGGAAGAGAGAGCAGAAGAGAAAGAGAGAGAGGGAAAGAGAGAGAGAGAGAGAGAGAGAGGGAGAGAGAGAGCGAGAGCGAAAGAGAGCGAGAGAGAGCGAAAGAGAGCGAGAGAGCTAAAGAGAGCGAGAGAGAGCGGAAGAGCGGAAGAGAGCGAGAGAGAGGAAGAGAGAGAGAGAGAGAGAGCGAGAGAGAGCGGAAGAGAGCGGAAGAGAGCGGAAGAGAGAGCGAGAGAGAGCGGAAGAGAGCGAGAGAGAGAGGGGGGGCGGGAGAGAGAGAGAGAGAAAGAGAGCGGGAGAGAGAGAGGGGTAGGGAGGTAGAGAGAGAGAGAGAGGGAGAGAGAGGGGGGAGAGGGAGGTAGAGAGAGAGAGGGAGAGAGAGGGGGAGAGGGAGAGAGGGGGGGAGGGAGAGAAAGAGAGAGAGAGAGAGAGAGAGAGAGAGAGAGAGAGAGAGAGAGAGAGAGAGAGAGAGAGAGAGAGAGAGAGAGAGAGAGAGAGAGAGAGAGAGAGAGAGAGAGAGAGAGAGAGAGAGAGAGATAGAGAGAGAGAGAGAGAGAGAGAGGAAAAGAGCGGGACGAGGTGGTTTACGACTCCCCTGCAGCTGAACCCCCCTCCTGAGTGCCGTAGAGACAAGCGGTAAGCAGGTTTCGAAAGATCTTAAAAAATATGTTTGGTTGTACTGTGTACATCGGTCATTTTTCGGTCAGATCAAAGAGGTCATCAGAAGTCAGAAGTCAGCAGATCAGAAGTCTGTGCCACAGTTGCATGTGACCTCTTTAATCACTTACGTCACTCTCTATCCGCGTTCTATTCGGAATTTCTATTAGATGCATTTGATTCATATTTTGGTGCATCTGAAACTTTGGCATCAAATTACCTTCGTGGAATTTAATCATTCGTTCTGTGTTGACAAGAAAAACACAATGATGTTGGAATAAAGTTAGTATTTTTTTCGATCCAAAGCTATTGCAGGAAATCGTTGGTGACTTCAGATGACCCCGATGGACCTATACCAAATAACATGAGTGATGCATTTCAACGACAGGGACCTATGACATTTTTTTGCTTGATGAGTGTTTCGGATGACAATTAGAAAGGCACTTAAATCGAGAAAGTGCAATTGATCATCCCCCTCAACTGCAAGACAGAGTACGCCAAGCTAACGCCACTTTCTTTAGTCAACATGGGTTCAGTCAAAGTTCCTCACTTACCCAGAGTGTCACAGAAGGCGACTCCGTTCAACATGGATTTGAGCGCCATCCTCGCTTCCTCCAACTCCTCTTCCCAGGTCCTGTTTACCCCACGCACCCTTGCGGGTTCTTCCCAGATCTGGAACAGAGTTTTGGTATAAGCTAAAACTACTGAGTGCTTCAGTGCTCCGTTTTAAATGCGTGATTCACTAGTAAATGACCAAGAACTTAACCAAAACTCAATTCAAATCCAAGAAACTTTGACATTTTAATCTAACAATGTATTGATATGAACGATGGCCCTACTTAGTCTGATTATTTAACCCCGAGTAAATTACGATTTTTTTGCAATGGTAAATAAATGATAATGATTAGGGTTTAGGGCACGGCGACTACAAGTGCAATGGTGAATAAAGCTTTGCTGGAACCTCAAGAGCAGGATATAATAGTCAGGCTTGAAAACAAAATCAAAGTATAACAATTAGTCGCTTAAAAAGAAAAACGTTTGTTTCCGAGAAGAACGGTCTCCAGATTCTGTAGATTCGTTTCGTGAACTAACCTCCACTTCATTGAAGAGGGCGGGATAGACGCGTTTGAGAGCCGCCAGTCCGATTTTTCTTTTGATTACCAGCTGACGGCGGTCGGCGAAGGTCTTGTCCATTGCCTCCTTCAGCTGCCAAGCAACACACATAATTGTATCACAAAACAGACGAAAATTACGTAGCCGCAAATGGCGTATGGAAGCACGCTTTGGCGTTCCTATTTGGTGACCCTAGATCAATTTATTTAGAAGTTAACCCTCGCACTGCCGGGGGAGGGGGTATGTACCTATGTGCCACCGCGCGCCCCAAAATTTGACATACCTGTTCCGACATCAATTTTGCACATTTTGTGCGGAAATAAACACGATATCACCAGAAGTCAGGTCACCAGGTCAGGTCAAGCCCGGCTGTAGAAACCGCACAAGTCGCAAGCGAGACTGGCGGGCCACTTCGAGTCTCGCAGGCCCAAGAGGCTCAGCGTCCCGAAAACACGTCACGTTCCGCCGACCGTGGGGATATTGTCATTTGCTTTTGCTATTTGTCGGAACAGATAGATAATGGAATATGATAACCTCAGTTTTACGTAATAAGCAGTCGGCGGGCCATTATAGGCTGGCGGGCAACAAACCACTTTCTAGAGCCGGGAGGTCAAGTGACTATGACAAAAGGCAAATTTTAAACTTTGCAACCCCACCAGTTGTTGACTTAGGATCCTGATACTCTCATTATAAGTCAATGGGAGAAATTTCGGATGCATTTGAATTACATTATTTCCAATAGATACGCTCATAGTCATGTCCAATAAGCTGATCATTGACCATTCAAGCGAAATTTTGCACCAGCGGCCCTCTAAGAAGCGTCAAAGGTCACGTGACGCTTAGAGGAAAACGTCGGACTTTGCTTGCTATCGCTACGCATAGGTATGATATGGTTTGCGCATAATTGGCCAGTTCGAATAGTGAAGGTTTGATGAGATGATGAGATGAGAGATGATTTATTTGAGCATCCATATTTACACTTGTCGAAACATTACGATTGGCGTAGAAGCGCTATGGCGCTTAAAACGAGACGCCGCTCGAAACACGTAGAAAGCAGACAATAACACTTCTAATCGAACACTACTAATCACTACTGATCTTAATCAAAATGTCAATATTAACATAGCGAAGTCGACCCTGCCTTGGCCGAAGCGCCTGTCCCCGCCCCTACTCGCGCCATTGCTGTGTATTCCGAAATGGAAGTGCTGCTCCTAGTTCTAGCAGGCAAATCTCCGCGTTTTGAGTATATAGCTCTGGACGGCCATGGCGGTGTCATGGCGGGTAGCCTTCATAACTCGCGAAGGCCCATTTAGCAGTGTTTCTATTTTCTTTTTCCGAGGAATGTTTTGAAAGTTCTCACTGAGAATTTCAGTTAACCTTTCGAACAATTCTTCTCGTTCTGTGCGAAAGAGTGGACAGATTAGGAGGAAATGCTCGCTGTTTTCTGTAGCAGCACCACAACTGCACTTGGCTGAATCACTTTTCCCTAATTTGAATCTGTGGTCTTTAAGATCTGATGAATTAAGCCTGAGTCGGGTGTGAAGCCGGTTTCCAATTTTGGAACCTGTGCTTAGGTAGGAGCTACAGGGCCTCGTCTAACATGTTAACTGGGGGGGGCAATTGCCTCCCCAGTCGAGCGGATTGCCCCCCCAGTGACCAGCATTTGCCCCCCCCCCCCCAGTCAAAACGTGAACTTCTAACAAAATTACCTTCTCTGCAATAGGTACGTTTTTGTTAGGAGTCTTACGTGGATTTCACGGAAATATCATACAATTATTTGTTCAATAGGTAACTGTTCACGGCTACGGAAAAAACAGAGTTTTGTGATTTTCAGAGCTGAGAGCGCCAAGAAGTAAATTGTCAGTTGGCAGCTGGCCAGTGACCCAGCTTTGCCTGTCCCGTAGCTCAGCTGGTAGAACATTGGACTCCCGGTAGTGAGAGCCCGGGTTCGAGACGTTCCGGCGCTCGTTATTTGAGACTCCTGATGGGGATGGTCTGCGGTTGGTGGGAGCAGCCGCAGCCAGTTGAAGTCGAGTGGGGCAGGCCGTGTCCGGCTCTGAAGGGCACGTTAAACTTTGGCATCTAAATTCTCCCGTTATTCGGAATTGCGCGATCGGACGGTAGGGGTCGGGGTCTACGCAACAAGCTCTGCACTTAGCGTGGGCTCCGGCTCTGTCAATCCGTCCATTCACACATTCGAGCTAAATTTATAAAAAAAACTCGTGTCTGCCCCCCTCCCCCACACTCAATCAAACGCCCAACACAGATAAGTATGTTTGTCACTGTTTGGTGGGGCAATGTGAGGGGGTAGCACACTAATGTTAACCCTCGCATGTGTGCGGTGTTCGCCAGCGTCTAACGTGTAGGGGAGGGGTCGGTTGGACCCCCCCCTGCCGTTTGCCCCTGATCGAGCTAGACCTTCGCGGAAAAAACGAGCGTGTTGCCCGTGACGAGGGGAAGACGATAATAGCCAATTTTAAGGTCCTGGGTCATTGGTTGACCTTCAAGGTCAGGTCAATGACCCAAAGGTCGGGAAATTCGGGACCTGCTAGAACTATTGTGAAACTGTTGTTTTTCGGGGTGGTGATCACTATTTCATGTTAGTTTTGATCACAGATGATGTCTTCATGCATTTAGGCCAGGTCGGGTCAGGTCAGTCATAGGTGGAGAATTGTGCTCAGCCGGGGGTGCTCGGGCGCAGCAAATCCACCACCGCCTAGCGATGACCTTGACCCGCGCCACCTGCTGCGGCTCCAAAGCCAGGCCGGCGTGGAATTAGGAGAGCTCGAGCACCCCCAGTCCGTCAGGTCAGGTCAACAAGTAGGCGTCCTACTGGCTATCAATAGTAGGTGTTAACTATAACTGACGGCGTCGTAACATGTTACGAAGGCACTAAAACTACTTCATAAATGTTCAAATGGATGCTAAATTCGAAATCAGCCCCAAAAACTACACTAGAAACATGTAAAACTCGAAAAAAGTGAACCAAGTTCATCAAAGGTCAATGACCTTGCCCTGACCTTCACGTGACCTTGACACCAACTGTAATGCATGGGAAGAACAGCATTTCACATGTTTGGACGTTTACAATCACAAAAAGACTGGAAACAAGCGGACAATGTGAGCTGACACGCTAAATCGCGATTCCGGCCAAACATGGTCTCGAGAAATAGGCCACAGGTCAAAAGTCGTTTTGGGTCAGGGCCATGAAATTTTTTAGAGTGGGTGTAAAATTGATCAGCTCGAGGGTGCTGAAAGTTTGGTCGCGGTCAACCGCTTTTTGCGCGAGTTTTTTGCGAAAACCCATGGGGGGTCCATCCGATCCCCCTCCCCGTCCCTACACATGGCTCGGATTGCCTGTTTTTTTTTTTGTAAAAAAAAATCATGGTCTCAGGGCTGTGACGAAAAACAAGTGGCCTAAATCCGGTGAGAAAACAGGATTTGGGGGTACCCTAGGTTTGGCTCCTTCAGTCTCTGCCCCCCCAGTGAAAATTCCTTAGACGAGGCCCTGAGGAGCTAGGTGACATGTTTATACCGGCATATGCATACAGCCTCTTTTTGAAGAATTTTTGGCTGTGTTCGGCTCGTAAGTCGTTGGGTAGTTCGTTCCAGATTCTTGTTGTTGTTGGGATGATAGATCTCGCGTAGGAAGCTGAGCGGACTGCTGGGATGGTGCGTTGAGTGGACTGTGTGCATCGCAGATTTCTCTCTATCTCTAGGTTTCTCGTTTTGGGTATGATGTCTTTTATAAAGTCCGGAACACGATCATCTAATGCTATCTTGTGATAGAGTTGCACTTTGTGGGCGCGACGTCTGTCTACTAGTGAGGTCCAGCCCAGCTCTTTTCGGAGGCCCGCTGTAGACGTCCTTCGAGGTGTGTCAGTGATAAGGCGTGCTGCCCTGTTCTGTGCTTTCTCTAGTCGGGACTTGTCAAATGCTGTCAGATGGCAATCAAATATTGAGTCGCAGTAGTCGAGATGGGGCTGGACATACATTTGATAGATTTGAAGTAAGATTTGTCGTGGAAGTACAGATGCTATTGGGAAGAGAGGACTCATCGTGCGGTAAAATTTTGATAGGATGTTGTTGACGTGAGACTTGAATCTCAGATCAGTTGAGATTGTTACTCCAAGATGTTTGTGGGAATCGCGAATGGGAATTGGTGAACCGCCAAATTCCAGGCATGGAATGTGTGTTTTTTTTTGTTACTAAGCGTTTGTTGGACTGTTTTTGTAGCATTAAATGTTATTATCCAGTCGTCTCCATATAGCGTTTGATGCGATTTAAGTCGATTTGCAGTGATTTTTCAACTTCATGAAAATTATTAACATTGTGACTGGCATGTAAGGAGCTGTCATCCGCAAAAAATAGCATTTCATTGTTGGTAACGCTACTGAGCCCATTTAGATACATTATGGCCAGCAGTGGGCCTAGGATGGATCCCTGTGGCACTCCTGCGGATAACTCACGCTGGGTGGACGTAGTTTGGCCTAGCTGGACTACTTGTCTCCTGTCACTTAGATAAGAGTTTAGCCAATCAAGTTGTGCACCTCTTATACCAAATTCTTTATCACATTTTGCTAGCAGCCCCTCATGCCAAATCTTTTCGAAATATCTTGATATATCCAGGTAAATGATTGTGTAATCCTCACCCGAGTCTATGGCTCTATATAACCTGTGAGTTAGATAAGCAAGTTGGAGCTCTGTGTTGTGACCAGGGCGATAACCACTTTGTTTTTGTGTTAAGAGCGAATGACTGTGAATGTGCTCATATATCTGAGTGAACATAAGTTTTTCGAATATTTTCGATAGACACGGCAGTAAGCTTATTGGTCGATATGATGCAGCCTCAGATGGGGAGCCCTTCCCTTTAAAAATTGGTTTAACTGTGGCTTTCTTCCACTGAGTTGGGTACCTGCCTTTTTGGACTGATTTGTTTAAAATTCTGGATAGAGGCTCAGCAATGTAAGCCGCTGACATTTTGATTAGTTTCGCCGGTACGCCGTCGGAGCCGGTGGCTTTAGACGAATCCAGCCCATTGATGGTCTTCAAAACATCTCGAGGTGTAATGGGAGAAAACTGGAAGGTGTGCTGAGTGCTGTTATATGAAGATTTGTATTCGCGTACGAGCTGTAAGTGTTTATCTGTAATGTTTATTTCTGTCTGGGAGCAAAAGTACGAATTGAGGGCCTCGGCCTTGCGGTGGTCGTCACTTACAAGATCATTTTCGACAATCAGAGGAGCCATAATGGAGTTTTGCTTGAACCCCGTAACGCTTTTCAGGATTTTGTGGTAGTTGTAAGGGGTTTTCTTGCTAGTGACAAGTAGATGTACTTTGTGTTGAATGGTTTCATTTTTGAGTTTTCTATTAAGGCTGGTTACAAGGTTGCGCTGAGATCGCCAGATCGACCAATCTCTTTCTGAGTTGTGACGTTGAGCAAGCTTGAATAACCGGTCTCGTTTACGCATTTCGCGCCTCAGCTCTGCTGTTAGCCACGGTTTGTGATTGCGGATCTTTACGGTTTTCTTTGGTATGTGAGCTACTGCAGTATGCAAGATGGCTTCTGTTAACATTTCAATTGCATCATCGGTGTCGGCATTTGTTATGGCGCTCCAGTCTATGTTTCTCAGTGTATTAATGAAACCGTCAACGTTGGTATTTGAGTAGTCCCAGCGGGTTGTTGTTACATGTCGGTCAGCGTCGATTTTCTGAAGGGACAAAGAAATAAGTAGAGGGAAATGGTCGATGTTTGAGAAAGCCGGTAAAACTCCTGAAGATTTAATTAGTTCGGTTCGGTCTACAAATATCAAATCTCTTAAGTTGTGGGTGTTCCCTTGTACGCGGGTTGCTGTGTTAATAATTTGAGTTAAGTTTGACGCTTCAGTGATATTTTTCAGTTTGTTTTCGAAAGTGGTGATGGGGGAGTGGTTGGGTGAATTACTAGGCAGCCAGCAGTTTCCAGCATTAAAATCGCCAACGAGGACCAGAAGATCGGGACTATGCTGTTTAGCTTCAAGGACACAGTCAGACAAGTAATCTAGGAATTGAGATTGTCGGTCGCTAGTGGTGTTCGGTGGAAGATAAACTGAGCAGAGCAGCAGCGTCGTTTTGTGGAATTTGATTTTCACCCATAGGGTTTCAAAGAGCTCACACTCAAGATGTGATATTTGCGAAAAAGGTAGTGTGTCTCTGACATATACTGCAACTCCTCCGCCCATCCTTGTCCTGTTTTTTAGTAATGGTGCATGAAAACCTTTCAGAGAGTAAAGACTGGAATGTATAGTGGTGTCAAGTTTTGTTTCAGATAGTGCTAGTATGCTAATATCGTTAATGTCAACGTAGCTTTGAAGCTCCTGTAGCCTTTCGTTGGCAGTGATGGAGTTGATATTAATTGCGGAGATGTTAACACCATCGCTTCGGAGCGTACTAGTCGCTGGTGGCATTGTGGGCACGGGGAAGGCGCTTCGACTGGCGGCGGGTGGCGAGAGAACAGTTTACATAAAACAATGTGTAATGTGGGCTATGGCTTAACTTTTGGCAAGATGACACTGATTTTGAGAGATGAGCAAGTACATCCGCATACTTTTGTCTCTATGCGTCGAGAAAGCGGAGATGATAGACATTGATAGCTCCGAAACGTTAAAGCAAATAAAAAAATGACATACGACGACTGGGCACAGCTATCGTTAACTCGTGCATCGTTGTCAGGTGGGAAATCATATCACACTGAGCACAAGACAATATATGATGGGCAATATGCAATATACACAAGGTCATGAAAAGTGATTTGGTTATGTTTAACACTGGACGCATGTACGGCCGGCGCTGTACGAACCGGCACCGGAAACCCAGCCCCAGCCGGGAGGGCGGGGGGTGGCGGGTGCCGGCCCGTCTGGGAGATGGGGTGTCACTACTCACAGCGTAGGCCCGGCTCGCCTAACGGTCACCGCTCGGGAATCGTTCCCTGTCGACACGCCCACTGTCAGAGACGGCGGGGCGAGCAGCTGATTGATGAGGTGTTGCCTGAGTCCGAGTATTTGCGCAGCTGCGCAGACCGTCCTTATAATGCCTTCGATGGTCGGCTGGTTAGCTCAGTGGCGGGGGACGTCCCCTCAGTCGGTTTCACGTTAGAGTGACTTCTAGAAGTCTAGATATACGCTAAATGGTGTTTTAGTGGTCAAAATGAGTTTATTTGAGTTCACATGGGTCAAATAAGGTCACTTTGGGTCAGGTCAGGTCAGGTCACGATAGGTCATGCCAGGTCACAGGAGTAGCTTAGGTAACGATAGGTCACCCCAGGTCACGATAGGTCACGATAGGTCACGAAAGGTCACCCCAGGTCACGATAGGTCAGGTCATGTCACGATAGGTCACCCCAGGTCACGATAGGTTAGATCAGGTCACGATAGGTCATGCCAGGTCACAGGGGCTGCTTAGGTCACAACAGGTCACCCCAGGTCACGATAGGTCAGGTCAGGTCACCATAGGTCATGCCAGGTCACGATGGGTCAGGTCAGGTCTCCGGTCAACTCGGATCATGCAAGGTCACAGGGGTCGCTTAGGTCACAATAGGTCACCCCAGGTCACGGGTCGCGATGGGTCAGGCCAGGTCACAGGTCACCTAAGGTCACGATAGGTAAATGCAGGTCAAACTGGTCACATTAGGTTGGGGCAGGTCAATTAGGTCACGATGGGCCATTACAACTTTTGAACACACAACTATTCACACTGCCCTAACCACATCAAATCTGACGCTTTGTGAAAAACCCGAGCTCACCAGTGTTCTGCCAGCCATTTCAATTTGAAATCAATTCAGAAAGCTTGATGTATTCCAGAAAAGGTGCATTCAACATTGATCAGCAATAAATCTGGATATCGTTTGTCCCATTCGAAGACAATGTTATTAAATGAACTTGAAAAAATGAGGCCAAATTGCTTTCATTGTATTGTAAAAACACCCAGCTAATCATTGCCTATCAAATTGTATATACATTCTATAGAATAGATGACGTCACTGGAAGAAGAAAATCCAGCACCTGATTGGCTGCCGGCGGCTGCACAACGTTACGTGACGTCACCGGACGGTCACTGGACGTCGCCTTTTTGCAATATGCTTTTTCGCTTCGCTACCACCACACAATGCCGCCAGTTATATGAGCAAATAAATTGTTTTCCGGTGTAGCATACGCCCAATGGGTCACTTTAAACTTGATCAAATAATAAAACGATAATTATAAACCACCCTTCAGCTCCTAATCGCACAAAAATATTGAAATCCCTCTCTCATCCCCCCAGCGCGTCGCTCGCCATGGTCGCCGGCGGAACAGCGCAGTCTTACCAATCAATTTATAAGTAATTCCACCAACCAATCTAGGAAAAAACTATCCCACAGCATTCACAACACTCACTTTTACGTCGTCGATTACTTTTCAGGTCACTTGCACTTGATTTTCCATTTATTTGCGAATTTGCAAAATCGCTTACCTTACGCTGGATTCGCCGGCCGAGATCAACTGAGAGAATGGTGGCCGGTGGAGTAGTCAATCACCACATCAACATTGTGCCAACACTGAAACCAACCTCACCTTCTCCGCAAATCAACTCGAAATGCAAAAATCAGTGCAATACAATTAAATTAAATCAATCCACATTTTCCAACGAAACAACGACGCGCCGCGCGGCCACTCCGCCAATATATAAAATGGCGTCGACGAGCGTCATAAATGACCCCTGGAAAAATAGTTGGTAACACTCGGGCCGGAAAAAACACTCGCATTATGATCACACTTTAGGAGATGAGCTCTGCAAGTGTTTCGAGTGTGAACGGAACTTACGTAGGGTGTGCACATGGTGTAACTTCCGTAGCTGAGTGTTGCCACTGAGTGTTAACCCTCGCATGTGTAGGGGGGGGGGGGTCGGATGGACCCCCCCATGGTTTTTCGCGAATAACTCGCGTAAAAAGCGGCCGATCGCGACGAAACTTTCAGTACCCTCGCATTGATCAATTTTACACCTACCCTGAAAATTTCATGACCCTGACCCAAATGACCTTTGACCTGTGACCTCTTTTCCGAGACCATGTTTGGCCGGAATCGCGATTCGGCGTACGTCGGCTCGCATTAGCCGTGCGTTTGCAAGCTTTTCGTGGTTTCAACCGTTCAAACATGTGATTTGCTGTTGCTCCCATGCATTAGGGTGGGTGTCAAGGTCACCTGAAGGTCAGGTCAGGTCATTGACCTTTGGTGACCTCGGGTGACCTCGGCTCACTTTTTCGAGTTTTACATGTTTCTAGGCTAGTTTTTGGAGCTGAATTCGAATTTAGCAACCATTTGAACATTTACGAAGTAGTTTTGGTGCCTTCGTAACATGTTACGAAGCTGTCAGAGGCGGTTGACACGTACTACGAATACCCGTCACGACGCCTACTGGTTGACCTGACCTGACCTGACCCGACCTGGTCTAAATGCTTAAATACATCATCTCTGATCAAAACTAACACGATATTCGTGATCAGCACCCCGAAAAACCCCTTAGCAGCCACACTTTACGACTTTCTAATAGGTCCCGATTTTCCCGACTTTGGGTCATTGACCTGACCTGGAAGGTCAACCAATGACCTAGGACCTTAAAATTGGGTATCATCGGCTTCCTCTCGTCACGGGCAACACGCTCGTTTTTTCCGCGAAGCTCTAGCTCGATCAGGGGCCAAACGGCAAGGGGGGGGGGGGTCCAACCGACCCCCCCCCTACACATTAGAAGCTGGAAAACGCCGCACACATGCGAGGGTTAACTTGCTGCACTTCAGCGATGACCTTGAATGGCAGTGTTCGAAGTGTACAAAGACCTAGCAATCGAGTGTAACACTTTTATTAACCTCTGAAGTGGGTGCTGACTGCGTGTAGGTGGACATGATCGGGTGTTAATTTGCTATCAGTGCAACGTCTCTGTCACGGGGTGTTGACACCAAATGGAGGTGTTATCTATCCGTAGCGTCGGTTGGTCTGAGGTGGCTTTGGTGTTAATTGTCGGTGTTCATTTTGAACACCGAGTAATTGCAACATTCTTCGGCGTTACACCCCACAGTTACACAGTTGAGTTGTGTTACACCCTACCAAAACGCCTCTCATTGGTGCTTATTTTCGTGTCACCGGTACGCGAGTGTTAATTTATTTTCAGTGCACACACTGAAAACTTTTTTACACCCGGTCAGAGTGTTTACACCGCAGACGAGTGTCGATGATCTGTACCGTTTTTACACTTTGCTGCAGTGTTCGTCAGCACTCAAACCAGGGGTATATGAACACTTGCTTGAGGTGTTGCCCTCTTCAGTTACACTTCTGTTGTGTGTTACACTTAAGTTTTAGACTCTTCAATTTTCTATTAACGCCTTTTAAAGGTTTTACGCTTTTGTTACACACCTATCCACCGGGTGCTTTCTACACTTGATCAGACTGTTAACACCTTAGACAAGTGTCGTTGATCTGTACCGTTTTTAACACTCTGCTATGGTGTTCGCCAACACTCGAGGAGAAGGTACCTGAACACCTGTTTTACGTGTAATGCTCCAGATTTACTCCCTCCCTGAATGTTACACTTTCTTTGCAGCCCACCCAATCGGTGTGTAGCTCCCATTGCACACTCGCAAGAAGTGTTAACTATCTACATGTCACTTCTATTACTGCCATTTTTACGCCGCTACTGCGACTGTCACGAACCCCATTGCATGCTGTGTCACATTTAACGATTATCAGAGCATACAAAAGTCCCACACCATACAACGCATTGCAATGATGATGATGATGCTAATGCTGCCGGCGACTACGACGACGGTAATAATGATGAGTGTGAAGTCAACGCTAGCGGAAGCCAAGGCAACGAAAAGAGCGAAGACATTACAGGTATGTATTACACAAGTACCGGCGTCTCTGGCATGTCTCTGAACTTAATAACGCTTGAAATCCTCCCCGCGCGGTGAAACCCGGGCGCAGTGTCGGTCCGTCGCTACCGTCACGTCTTCCACCGAACGGTAACGACTGAGCCCACCCCACACTGATTAATGGCGTACTCATCAGCTGAGGCGGTCGGGCAGGGCGTGGGAGTAGTCAAGTAGTCTTGGGGCGTGGTGCCAAACCCGCCCAATCCTATTCATCCTGCTAGAACCTGTCCAGCGTCTACTCAAAGGCGTCTACCCGAGCGTCTACTCCAAGACCTTGGGCATTCGCTTAATCAGGAACGGCGAAGGCTTGCGGGTGTCCGTTGCGAGGAGACGGACACAGCCTATGAAAGCTGCGTTTTCCACAGCGCGGAATGCCAGCCGCTGGGCGAACACCGTAAAGGCGCACGCCCAGGTCAGATATTGGTCGGCGCGTTTCTTCAACACATTGAAGCGGACGGCTTCCACCCCCTCTATAAACAGTGCGTCTTCGTACACGCAGGGGTGCGTGCGAGAGTACCCAAAGACGTTGTGCTTCTCACGAATTTCGAACAGAACATGGTCCAGCGCCTCCTCTGAAAGAAGTGGGAAACCGGTGACAGCGTTCCGCCTATAAACTAACCATCAACATTGTTTTTTTCTATTAGCAATATCGCCGGTTGCAAAATACCACGCCATGATGAATGTCATAATGGTCAAACGCCAGCATGCCAAGGCCCTAGAATTCCAGCACAATAAGGGTGTGCGTGCGTGCATGATAATAGAAACGAGCAAAAACATGTCACATTTTCAGATGTTCCTGTAGGGAGATAATATATATTGAAATTATCTTGTCTACGCGATAGAAATGAAAGTATGCATTAGCTTACCTTCATTTTCCGAGATCGGGGATCCGGCGCAGTTTTCGAGAAGACATCTCAGCCGCTCCGGGGCTGTCTCGAGTTCCTCCCGCCCGGAACGCCCAAGGCCTCGAATTCGCGCCAACTCGTTCCACAGCTGTGGAGCAACATACCTACTCGTATCAGGGGCGGATCCAAGGGGGGGGGGTCACATGGGTCATGGCCCCCCCCCCCTTGAGGCCCGGGGGCCCAAAGACCTTCCAGGGGCACCACCGGCCTATCAGGGGTATCACAGTCCTGACAGGGGCACCACAGGACCGCCAGGGGCACCACAGGCCTAGCAGGGACACCACGGGCCTGGTGCCCCTGGGCCCTGACAGGACTGTAACGCCCCTGACAAGCCTGAAGTGTCCCCGGCAGGCACGTGGTGCCCCTGACAGGCCTGAGGCGCCCCTGCAAGGCCGGTGGTGCCCCTGGCAGGCCTGTGGTGTCCATGGCAGGCCTGTGGTGCCCTTGGTAGGCCTCTGGTGCCCCTGACAGGCTTGTAATGCCCCTGGAAGGACTGTGGTGCCCCTGGGCCCTGACAAGCCTGAGGTGCCCCTGACAGGCCAGAGGTGCCCTTGCTAGGCCTGTGGTGCCCCTGGCAGGCCTCTGGTGCCCCTGACAGGCTTGCGGTGCCCTTGGAAGGACTGTGGTGTCCCTGGGCCCTGACAAGCCTGAGGTGCCCCTGACAGGCCCGTGGTGCCCTTGTTAGGCCTGTGGTGCCCCTGGCACGCCTCTGGTGCCCTTGCTAGGCCGCTGGTGCCCCTGGCAGGCCTCTGGTGCCCCTGCGCCCGGAGAGGACTGGTGCCCCTGAAAAGTCTGAAGTGCCCCTCGGCAGGCCCGTCGTGCCCCTGACAGGCCCAAGGTGCCCCTGCGAGGCCGGTGGTGCCCCTGGCAGACCTCTGGTGCCCCTGGCAGGTCTGTGGTGCCCCTGGCAGGTCTGTGGCGCCCCTGGCAGACCTGTGTTGACTGGTGCCCCTGCTAGGTCGCTGGTGCCCCTCACAGACCTGTGGTGCCCCTGGGCCTTGACAAGCCTGAGATGCCTGGCTATGACAGGCTCGTGGTGCCCCTGATAGACCAGTGGTGCCCTTGCTAGGCCTGTAGTGCCCCTGGCAGGCCTCTGGTGCCCCTGCTACCCCTGCTACCCCTGAGAGGACTATGGTGCCCCTGAAAAGCCTGAAGTGCCTCTCGACAGGCCCGTGGTGCCCCTGGGCCCTGACAGGCCCAAGTTACCCCTGCGAGGTCGATGGTGCTCCTGGCAGGCCTCTGGTGCCCCGGGCAGGTCTGTGGTGCCCCTGGCAGGCCTGTGTTGACTGGTGCCCCTGCTAGGCCGCTGGTGCCCCTCACAGGCCTGCGGTGCCCCTGGAAGGACTGTGGTGCCCCTGCCCCTAGGGGTGCTCATGGGCCCAACAGGCCCGTTGTGCCCCTGACAGGCCTGTCGTGTATACTTGCTAGACCTGTGGTGCCCCTGCTTCCTGGCAGGCCTGTGGTGCCCCTGGCGGGCCTGTGGCGCCCCTAAAAGGCCGTAGGTGCCCCTGACAGGTTTGTGGTGTCCCTGGAAGGACTTTGGTGCCCCTGACAAGCCTGAAGTGTTAAGGACAGACCCTTTAGACGCCAGGGTCAAGTTCGTCGGACTGACAACGATTTGCTTACCTGATAACGTTCCTGGTAAGTACTCATTACTCAGCGTCCACAACATATATACACATAGCACATTCATATATATACTTGCTTACAATTGGTAAATGTGGTTGTGGCTAAGAGGTAAGATACTGACTAAAAATAAAAAATAAAAATAAAAAACTGAAAATGGGGGCACCACCAAAATCAAGTGGACGAAATCCGTTGAGTTTTTAATTTTGGGTATAGGTAGGGGCACCACTTCGATTCATGACC